CCTGTCTAGAAAAAAAATTAATTTTTAAAAAGGAGAACTGGATGAACGCATTTCTTCTTTCTCCCTTAAACCTCTTGGCTAAGTCACTGACCTGATACCAACAGTCATAGCTGCACCAGGGCCATTTCCTCCGTTCTAAAACCTTTAGGAGCCCTGTGGCTCTGATGAAAAGGTCTCCAAGGGGATGGGGCTGAGACAGGCACACTAACAGTACTTACCCGTGAGCCCCAGCTCCAACTTAGATTAAGAGTAAACAGGAACCGGGCAGTGGTGGTGCACACCTTTAGTCCCAGCACTCTGGCGGCAAAGGCAGGTGGATCTCTATTTGTTCAAGAACAGCCTGGTCTACAGACCTATTTCCAGGACAGCCAGTACTACACAGAGAAACCCTGTCTAGAAAAACCAAAAAAAAAAAATTAATTTTTAAAAAGGAGAACTGGATGAATGCATTTCTTCTTTCTCCCTTAAACCTCTTGGCTAAGTCACTGACCTGATACCAACAGTCATATCTGCACCAGGGCCATTTCCTCTGTTCTAAAACCTTTAGGAGCCCTGTGGCTCTGATGAAAAGGTCTCCAAGGGGATGGGGCTGAGACAGGCACACTAACAGTACTTACCCGTGAGCCCCAGCTCCAACTTAGATTAAGAGTAAACAGGAACCAGGCAGTGGTGGTGCACACCTTTAGTCCCAGCACTCTGGCGGCAGAGGCAGGTGGATCTCTATTTGTTCAAGAACAGCCTGGTCTACAGACCTATTTCCAGGACAGCCAGTACTATGCAGAGAAACCCTGTCTCGAGGGGAAAAAATAATAATAATAATTAGGAGTTGATGAAGTCTATAAATGTTTCCATGGCACACATGGCCCATGCTCCATACCTGTTTTCTGATCAGTCAAGGGTCCACAAGGAGAAAACTGCTGACCCATTTGATGGCTGGAACAACTGAGGCTGAAGTGACTTGCAGAATTAGAATCTGAACCCAAAACTGGCTAGCTCCAAAGACCCTGCTCTCGTCTCTACAAATATTTTCAGACAATGCCACCTTCTCCAGACTTCCTAAGCTACAAATGACGAGGGGCTGAAAGGGGCAGCCTTCTAGGTAGATTGAGCAGGAACACTCTAGGTGGGGGCCGCCATCGTGGCCCCGGGGGCCGATGTGATCTTCACATCTGGAGATGACTGATTAAAGCGCCTCTTCAGCCAGAGAAGCAGCTCTCCGTGGGCTGGAGATGAGGCCCAGCCTGTGAGTCACCATCCTCTCTCTGCCACCTAAAGAATGGGGACCACCCCTGCCTGGCCTCCCCAGCCCCTGCTCTCCGCCCTCTGGAGTGTCCGTCCACCGGGCCCAGCACACGCCGAGACAATCTGGAGTACGTGCTCAATCACACAGACCTCACAAACAATGCAGGGAAATAATGTTCTTACAGGAAACGTCATCATATTGACTCATGACAGACCCATCCATAAAACAACTGGGGTACCTGGGCCAGCTCAGGGTGCAGGCCTGGGCCTCTCTCCTGAGCCAGGAGGAAGTAGGTGCTGCTGGGGGTGGGGGGAAGGGCAGCTTCCCCTGGCTGCCTGGAGTCTGGCTGGGTCTCTGAATTATTTGTCAAAAAAGGAAAAAAATTATTTTTTTTTTAAAAGAACGAGTCCCAGAGCATTGTGGTCTCCATGCCTTGTCTCAATAGCCCTATTGCAAAAGCCCCTCTTCAGACCAAGGAGTTTTGCAAGCCATTTGCCCTGTTCAGGAGAGAAACACGGCCCTCTCCAGGGGCCTGTGTCTTCATCTGTCCTTCTTGGCAAAGCGGGTCCTGCTGTGGCCTTGATCCAAGTCTATTCTCAGACTTGAGGGAGCAGCACAGTGCAGCGTTGAAGTGCCCCACAAATCCACTTATGTAGGACCTCAGTTTCCTTATCTGCAGAATGGGAATAAAGCAAGAGCCCAGGTGCAGATCACGTGGCATGGTGTACTCTTTCCTGACCCTTCCTGAGCAACAGCCTGGAAGCCCAGCCTGGGAGTGTAGGAACTACCCTGTCTTCATCCAGGGAGCTTGGGCTAGCCCCTCTCTGCCTTGATCTCGTCCAGCAGCCCTGGCCTGCCAGCCTCCCAGGGTGTGGCACAGCTGTAGGAAATGGGTTGTCAATTGGGCTTAGGACACTGGGCATGATCTGAGGACCAAGGTGATATATCTGCCTACTGCCGTGGCACCCCTCAGCTGAGCAGTGGCCATTTTTCTGTCCTGGGATGTGAGGGACTGAGCGTTAGGGAGGGCCCATGTCCCCTCTTGGTTGCTGAGGACTGAGCTGGTAGCTCTGGGTGGAAGTCACCAGTAGTACAACAGATAACAATGTCCTTCAAGAGTGTACCCAGGTGCCTTCCAGTCCCCGGTCCCTGGCACGGCGTTGGATTATCACACGCCCCTGGCCATGGCTAGCCCCGGTTGGGCCTTTGTGTGCCAGCATGTCCAGCTCTGCTCTCTTCATCTACTGCCACACATGGTGGCCAAGGTGCCCTCTCAAGACCATGCTCTGAACAGGCCACTCCCCTGCTCCAGCACTCCCAAGTAATAGGCCAGACTCCTTAATTCAGCCCTCCCGTTTCCTTGAATCCCGGCCTCTGCTGAGCTTACCAGCTTTTTCGGCCACCATGGCACACTCAGTCGAGGGCCTGCAGGTTCCTCACCCTAGCGTGATTCCCACACCTGGTGCCTCCTGCTCTTCTCAGCTTTCGGGAATATTACAATGAACTTATATATACCCCTCAAGGCCCAGCCCAAATGTTCCCCTTGCTATAAAGACAGCCCTAAATCGTGGGCCAAAATGTTCCTCTGCTTCCTTCCACACACGCCCTGTGCACCATGCCCTCTCCTGTGCGTTCTTAGATTCGCACCAGGAGCCTAAGAGGATATGGCCTCTGTCTGCTTTATCACCAGGCTCCCAGCCTGCGGCAGGTTAGCCTAGCAGGCAGAGCTATTCACTGGAGGAGAGGGGTCTGGAGGGTGTGTTTGCAGGCCTGTTGCTGACCTCCTTCTGAACTCTACCTACAGGAAGTGGCAAAGACTGATGCTCTCCAATTGCTTCTTCAAAACCTTCTTTAGTACAGAATGCTATCCTGAGGCTGCAGTTTTTCCTCAAAACCCAGGCAAGGCGCGTGAGCTGGGGAAAGAGCTGTACAGAGTCCCGGGGAGGTGAGGGGTGTCAGGGCTCAGGCTGGGTCACCCCTACCCTGTCCAGCTCCCAGGACGCCATGCTGCACATGCACCTCCGCCTCCCAGTCTGTCAGAGTGTGGCAGCAGCTGACTTCCCAGGGCTGGGTGGGACTGGAGGGGTCAAAGGTTGTACAGACTCCAGTGGTCATTTTCAATGTGTTTCAAGACTGCTGCTCTGGACTTTTTCTGTCTTGTTTTGGTTTTGGGTTTTTGGTTTGTGTGTGTGTTTGGGGGGGGGTGTTTGTGTGTGTGTGGGGGGGGAGTCCAGAGTTTTCTTTTCAATCTAGAGTTTTCTTCTCCAGGTGTCAACTCCCCACCCCTTCCTACCCTCCTCCTCTTCCTCTTCTTCTTTTTCACCCTATCTGACCTGGAACTTGCAATGTAGACCAGAATGGCTGACCTTAAGCTCACAGAGATCTGCCTTCCTCTCCTTCAAATGTGCTAGAATTAAATCATGCACCACCACACCTGGCCTTTTTCTTTCTTTCTTTCTTTCTTTCTTTCTTTCTTTCTTTCTTTCTTTCTTTCTTTCTTTCTTTCTTTCT